AACTATCAAAGCTACTCAGTCAGTCAGTAATAGAGAACCTGAATAGGCCTGAAAAGGGAAAACGTGAATTTGTAATTTAAAACTCTTTCATAAGAAAATTCCAATTCCAGATGGCTTCACTTCTACACAAACTCTTCCAGGGTATTCCAGAGGGGAGAATATTTCCCAGTTAATTTTATGAGATGAGTGTTACTCTGATAGCTAATCACTAATGTGCAAAATCAATGGTGAGTGAACGTGATAGTGACCTCACACAAACCTAGGCAACAGCATCCTGCATTAGACCCCCGACAAAAAAAAGCAAAAACAAAACGATCAGCATCATGTAAGAAAGTCCTTGGCAGTGGAAAAACTTAATTTCAATAAACCCTGACACTTGAATATTAATGCTTCTCTTTCAACATGGTGCTTACTGAAGCCTGAGATGGTCTTCAGAAAAAAGTACATGGGAAACTGAATTATGAGCTGAATAACTGCTTTATTTATACAGAACACCTATTCATTTGAAAGAATAACTGATAAGGCATTATTGCCAAGATCAGGGTATTTGTTTGACATGTTCTAAAAAAAACACAAAAAATGCATGAATGACCCTTTTATTCAAAAAAACTGAAAAAATTTGTAGCCAATGATAAAATTCAAGTTGCCTAATAAAAATTAGAATTCCTGAAAATCTGATCTGCCACCATGAATCTGACAGCTTCTCAATGCTTGAAATTCTTTTTCAATATGTAGTGATATTAACAATGGTGATGCTTACAGTATCATACTATTGCATGTGCCAACATTTGGAAGAACTCATAACTCAATGAATCATTATTTGCCAAATGACCACTGTGTGATGGTACAAAATGATGCATATATTAACCAATTCAAGATGGAAGCTAGATCCATGGCTTTTAATGTAAAGAAGTACAAAATGTTTATTGTTATGATTTCATATCCCACATTGCAACTAACATTTAAAAAAATGTCATTTGTTGATTTGCATTGTAGTATCACAGAATATACACAATTACTTGAAAAAAATTTGAAATATTCACATTTTCAACTGTATATGAGGCAGAATTAAAAATAATATTTTAACCGAAACAACATAGTGTAACAGATTGAATGCAGAGCAGGTGTAAGAATTCATACACTGTGTTGTCATATTAACAATAATCAAAGGAAAGGTGGAGTGGCTATGCTAATACAAGGCAAAGTTAATGTCAGAGCAAAAAATATTATTAAGAATAATGAGGGTTACTTTGTAACATCAGAGGTATGAATTCATTAGCAGTTTTAAACCTGTATGTACCTATTAACTGAGCTTCAAAATACATAAGCAAAATCTGATAAAACTGCAATGGCAGAAAAACACGCAATTGTAGCTGACTTCAGCAATACAGTGGTAAGAAAGTCAGTAAGGATATTAAAGACTTGAACAACACTATCTACCAATTGAGCCTGCGCAAAGTACATCACCCAGCTATGACAGAATATACATTCTTTTCCAGTGCATATAGAATATGCAGAGATAGGGCATATTCTAGGCCAGAAAACTATTTTCAATACATTTAAAAGGATTCAAGTCATGCTAAGTATATTCTCTGACCACAAAAATCCCTGGAAAATCCCTACATATTTGGAAACTAAATATCAGGCTTTTAAATAATCCATGGATCACAGAAGTAATCACAAGGAAAAAACAGAAAACTACTTTGAATTTCATGAAAAAGAAAACATAAAATTTATGACATACAGCTAACTTAGTTCTTAGAGTGAAAGTTACAGCACTTTTTTTTAAAGAAAAAAAACAGAAAGAAGAGCAATGAGTCCCATAGTACTCAGAAGAAGATAATAAAAGAACAGAGCAGAAATCAACAGAATATAACACAAAACCAATAGAGAAGAGGCAGTAAAATCAAATGCAGTGTTTTGAGGTCAATAGTATCAACATATGTCTAGCCAGATGGATTCGGGTAAAATAACAAACACAAATCACCAATAGCCAGAATTAGAACTATGTTATCACTACTGGTTTAAAGGATGATAAGAGTATTATGACTGTCTTTATGACAATAAATTTAACAACTTAGATAAAACTGAAAAATTCCTTGAAAGATGAAAACTATCAAAGCTACTCAGTCAGTCAGTAATAGAGAACCTGAATAGGCCTGAAAAGGGAAAAGGTGAATTTGTAATTTAAAACTCTTTCATAAGAAAATTCCAATTCCAGATGGCTTCACTTCTACACAAACTCTTCCAGGGTATTCCAGAGGGGAGAATATTTCCCAGTTAATTTTATGAGATGAGTGTTACTCTGATAGCTAAATCAGACCAAGTCATTATAAGAAAAGACCAAAGGCCAATCTCTCTCATGAACATACATGCAAAGATTTTTTCTTAATTTAGCAAGTCAAATCTAACAGTATATAAAAAGGATCATACATCATGACCAAATTAATTTTATCCCAGAAAGCAAGACTGCTTTAACATTGGAAAAATCAATGTAATCAATTATATTAATAACTAAACAAACAAAAAAGATCATCTCAGTAGAAATAGAGAAAGCTTGGATAAAATCCTGGATTCATTTCTGATAAAAACTCTTCGCAAACTAAAAACAGAAGGGCACTTCCTCAACCTGCTGGAAGGCATCCATGAAAGGCGGCTAACGGGGCTCTTACGATGAGAGCAAGAATGCTTTCCCTACATCAGGAACGATCTTACGGAGCACTTTCCCAGATATTATTTTATTTGATTGCCATGAACTTGGAGACATGTAAACAACACAGACATTGCTCAGGAAACTAAGAGAGTGAATAAGGTGCTTAGGGGATAAGGTGCGCCCTCCCTTGACGGCCATCCATACTCTCAGCCGAGCTTTCCCCAGGACACATCAACACAGCCTTAGAGCTAATGCTCATCCTGTAGTTAAGCCTCTTCTTCTCCAATCGGGCTGTTTCAAGGATGAGACACAGGCCGGCACACTCACTTCAGATGCTGATGAGATACTTCATTACGGTCCTTATGCTGAATAGATACCAGGCCTGAATGTTACTGAATTCCTTATTGATTTTTAAAGATTAAGCGATTTCTCTAGCTCTACTGACCACTAGATGCAATTTGAACAATTTGGCATCGTCAGATATAATTTAATTGACTGTGTTTTAAAACAGAGCTCTGACAAATTGATCAAGGAAGTTTCTAGGTTCCTGGGAAGAATTTCAGGGATGACAGTACTGGATGGGTAATTCCATTCGTACAGAAAATGTATTTGACTAATACCGATGTGTTCCTTTGGGGCAAGTGCTGTGTCAGTCCCTAAGCAGGCAGACATGAGGAAGACAGCTTCCCTGAGCTGGAGAGGGTTAGGTCAGGTGGGCAATGGACACGCAGACACGTAATGAAGATTCTTCGTTGTAAACTCTAACAGAGTGATTCCTAACTATAATTAGAAGTGAGACACAAAGAACAGTTTTTCCTGGATGTGGAGAAAATAGAAGAGGTGATTTTCAAAATAAAGAAAAGAATACATAGGATGAAAAGCTCCATGAGTTCTAGCAAGAAAGTGTAAATTTCATTTATTTGCTTCATTGGGAGAGATAAATGTCCCAAATGCCTTCAACTGACTGCTACTGTATATAATATTTGAAATCAGCACCCCTCTTAATGGCTGACCCCCCACACGTACTGGGACATGCCACTCCCTGGGGAGTGTATATTGTGACCTATAAGCCCCTCTTGCTCGGGGAACCTCTGGGAGACAGTGAGAGGAGGGGCGCGGCCACAAGGGCGGGGCCCTTGCTGGGGCAGCTTGTGCGGGAGAATTCCCAGGGGGCCCAGACCAGAGCTCATCTCCAGCTAAATCCAGCTTCCAGCTTGGCTTCTATCTCCGGCCCTACCCTGCTTCCTCTTCCCCCTTCTCCAAGAGAACTTTCCCTAAAATCACTTGAGGAAGAATCCAAAGAAACCTGAATTAAAACATGAACTCCTTTACTTATATGGAAAACGTGTGATATTTAATCTGTAACCATTCCAGCTTTCTATCCATTGGAATATGCAGACACAACTCAGATGTCAAAGCATCTTAGTATCATTTTTCTTACTTTTCAAGTACTTTTGCTTCCTTTTCATGTAAAAAGACATTTTACCTAGTCTATTACAGCCATCCTGCAGACAATTCTTCTCCCTCCCTCTAGAGATGCGGCCGCCACTCCGGCCCCATTTCATGGGGCCCCACGGGCTGAGCAGCAGGCCACCCCGTCCTCCAGCACTCCTCCTCCCTTGCCGTTTCCGGCTCACTTTATCAGCCTAACCTCTCTACACATGCCTCGTTTGCTTTCCTCTCAACAAGGGTGAGAATTATGAGAAAAAACACATTTCTTGCTCTCCTTTTATTCTGATTTCATGGCCTACTCCTAAGAAAAGTATCCACCTTACAAGCTGGCAAATGTTTTCTTGGGTTAATGGAAGGAATGCAAAACCCTGGGGCAGCACTATTGTGATCACTGCTACGTTCGTAATACAGCACCTGGACAGCAGCCTCTCACTCAGCAGGATCCTTGCAAAATGATCATAACATTTTCTAAAACAAATTGCACTGAAATTACATTCATCATTACAAAAGTGTATTTAATGAAAGAACTTTAAGGCTATAGTTAAATTTTTGCTCCATCTATTTTTTTAAAAACAGTAACAAAAACACATTAGGATATAGGAAGGCAACCAATTAAAAACAGAAAAAAAACTAAAAAAAAATTTTGATCATATACATTTAGAGCTAAGTTTTTAATATTGGCTCACATAGTGAATGCCATTAACTCCAGATTATCTAGAATTTTTCAGCACAATATGTTTTAAAATTCTACAAATAATATAGCTTATATTAATTGAGAGGTTACATGTTTAAATCAAAAGGACAAGACAGTTTAAAAATGACAATTCAGTCAAAGCTGAAATGATATATATGTTAGAAGATAACATGCTTTTCAAATAATTACTTTATATCCTACCTGAAGTCAGAACCTGCTCGTCTACCATTTTCTGGAATCCCGGGATCTGGACACATGTCAGAGACCAAAGCCACGCCTCCCTGACTCACTGTAAGAGAGAGAAACATTTGTAGAATTTTGTGTAGCTGTTGGGGAAATACACAGAGGATAAATTTATGTAAGGCAGATTTGGTTCCTAAAATGTACTTTACTTAAGAATTAAGGCAGTTTAGTCACATTAAAATAAAATTTAATGCTTATTCCTGAAATACAAAGACTTGTTAACCAGGGAAAGGATGGGATGCCAACATTCCTTGGTTTGAATCCTGCTTGTATTGAAGAAGTTGAAATTTAATTTAGAAAACTTATTGCTCACTAGGATCAACTTGACGACAGGTTACAATTAACGTCATGTTGGGGGGGAAAAAGCAGCATGGTTTCTACATCGAGATTATACAGGAGAAAGCCCTCATTCATTCCCCACGATCTGGACATGGTGATTATCTACTAAAATCTATAGGGAGACACCTTACATAAAACTACCTATTATACTTTAAACACTGAAGTTTGTCACTGAACTAAAAGAAAAGCACTGGTCTTCTTGCATAGGTGTGCCGATTTATCTCCTGAATCTATTCCTTGAAGAGCCTTTCCTCCTGTTGCGATGTTGTACAATCACAGAGCAGTTTTTAAAGAACACATTGGCCGCTTGGATAGAGTGGCTGCCTCCCTAACACCCATTCCACCCATTCCACCCTATCTGATTTGTCTAACCAACCCAGGCAACTTCCTCTTTCTTTCCAGGAATTTGTTCAAGTGGGTTTGTAACCCACATCAGTTCAGTGGGGCATGAGGGCTGCTGGGAGCTAATAGAGACCATTTGTTTTTTACCCTGGACCTTCCTGTATCTGCATCTTGAATGTGGAACTGCTGGAGCCAGCCTGCTACAGTCCAAGCACGGAGATGACAACATGGATGGAAGAGAAAGAGAGAGCAAGAACTGGGGCCTTCCATATCATAGCTGAGGCAGAAAACTGGCCAATTCTGAACACCCTGTTGGAGGATTCATGTTTCCTACAGCTTAAGAAGCCCATCTGAATAGATGGTCTTAATATTTGCAGCTGAAAAGCATAGTTACACACATACACACATTTTAAATGATCCCGTCAAGAGAAAAAAAAAGTAGGTCTGGGTAGATATTAGGCCCTGTTAAGTATTTCATTAAAGCTATGCTTAAAAACCCCAATAATTATAGCAATACTTAGTTTTTATTGCTAAATTAAGAGGGAATTGGGATATGGCTATAACCTTTCATTAACTACAAATCTTACTAGAATATATGAAGTGAATCTATTCTTAAGCAGCATTTCATCATTCCTGGTTAATCTATATTTCTTTGAGGTTTTTATTGAGATTTTTTATAGCATCTAAAATTTATTTTGCTATATGGCACAAGAAATGGACTGAACCCTAAATTTTTCTTTTCTAAATACTTAATTTTCTCAGTGTCATTAAAAATAATCCAGCAGGCTGGTTAGGGACATCAGTGAGGTGGTGGAACGGGAAGCTCCAGGCCTTCACTCCCCAATGGAAACTTGAAAAAACAACCCCACACTACTGAAATAACTCTGTGGGGGTTCTGGAAACCTGCCACAGATCCACAGCACCCAAGCAAACGCCCAATGAAGAAAAAGTCACATGCGCAATGGTAGACAATGTCGTGGAAGTTTTGCTTGCCCTTGCCCACACCTTCCCTGACGTGGCACAGCGCAGTGGGGAGGAAGTGGCCCATTCCTCCCTGAGGATGGAGAGACAAAGAGGAACTTGTTTGCAACACCCTTGCCCATCTGTGGGCTGCTTGACTGACTGGTTTCTCTCAGCCTGACCTGGAGCTCAGATGGGGAATGGCAGCCGGAAGCTGTGGAAGGCGATGGTGGGCACTGCTGCATTTAAGTCACAGGGACTGCAGCCACATAAGGACCTGAGGGCAAGAAGTTATAGGCAAAGGACCGCAACAGAACATCTAAGAGCCTGAGAAGCTGGGGTGAGGCTTTTAAGTAATTAAGATAATTTAAAGCAGTTAGGGGTTAAAAAATAAATAAATAAGCTCACACAGAGACTCAGACAGGGCACATACACAGCAAAGTTCTGAAAAGGCTGTAAATCTGATGCCAGACTGATCTCAAAGCCCAGGGGCCCACTGATTAGTAGAGATCTTCTGCATCAGTAGGCAAAGACTGGGAGAGGTAGCGGTTTCTTTCAAATGCCCAAGTTTTAGTGAAGATTATAAGGCATACAAAAAAAAAATAGGGAAACATGGCCAAGTCAAAGGAACCAAATTAATTTCCAGAAATAGTCCCCAAAGGAATACATGCACTGGATTTACTAGACCAAGACTTTGAAACAACTGTCTTAAATATGAATTTGAAAAAACAACGTCTGAACATTTCTGAAATTTGAGGAAAAGACATAAACATACACAAATCCAAGCAGGTCAACAACTTCCAAGTAGGATAAACTCGGAGACCCACAATGAGACCCACAGTCAAACTGTCAAAAGACAAAGTCAGAGAAAGAATCCTGAAAGCAGAAAGAGAAAAGCAACTCATCACAAACAGGAGATCCCAATAAAATGATCAAAATCTCGGCAGAATTTTGCATAAATACACAATACTTAAGCACTGTCCACTGAGAATTCCAGCCAGCAAGACTTCCTGCGTTGATGACAGAGAAATGAAGACATTATCAGACGAAAATAAAGGAGGTGGGAACCCGTTACTCCAGACCTGTCCTACAAGAAATCCTTCAAGGTGAAATAAAGGGACACCAGGCAGTAACTCAAAGCTTTGTGAAAATAGGAAGATCTCTTAGGTAAATAGAGATAAATATTTAAGAACACTTTTTGTGATTTTGATTTGCAACTCCATTTTTTAAAGTTTCTGCATGATCTGAAAGCAAATACATGAAAATAAATTATAAATCTATGTTGAGGCACACAATGTACAGAAATATAATTTGTGACATCCATAGCACAAAGTTGGGAGGTGGAACTGTGAAGGGGTAGAGTTTGTATGTGATTGAATTTGGTATCAGTTTAAGACTGTCGTAACTTTAGGATCTTCTTTGTAATCTCCATGGCAAAAGAAAATATCTACAGAATATACCACAAAAGGAAATGAGAAGGGAACTACAATATACCCCTACAAAAATATTAACTATATACAAAAGAAGATAGTAATGGTGGAAATAAGGGACAAGAAGCTGTAAGAAATACAGAAAACAAGTAACAAATTGGTAAAAATAAGTGCATCTCTATTAGTAATTTTTAAAAATGTGAATGGAAGCCATATTGCATGTAGGGGTGAACTGTGTCCCCTCAGACTTCCTATGTCAAGAGTCCTGCTCCCCTGAACCTCAGAATGTGACTGCATTTACAGACAGGGTCTTTGACAAAGTGATTTAGTTAAAATGAAGTCAACAGAGTGGCCCTAATTCAGTACGACTGATGACCTTATTAAACAGTAGGACACAGACACACACAGGTAGATGACTATCAACAGGCCAAGGACAGAGGCCTCAGAAGAAACACCCCCGCCAACACCTTGAGACTTACAAGTCTCAGCATCGTGCGTAAGAAACGTTTCTGTTGTTTAAGCCGCCCAATCTGCAGTACTTTGTTACGGCAGGCCTAGCAGATTGACCCAGGCCCCAGCCAAAATACACAGGTTGGCAGAATGGATTTCAACAAAAAGACAACACAGGACACAACTATATTGTATCTACAAGGGGCTCGCTTCAGATTTGAAGAGGGTGAGAGTGAAGAGCTGTCATATGCAAAGAGCAAGGGGTAGAATGCTGGTTGTCTGCAATGCCTGGGGAGTCACCACTCAACTGGCATGAAGTTTCAGTAGAGAAAAACAGATTTTTCTGGAAAAGGATGGTAGTAACAGAGACACAACAATGGGATTGTATTTAATGCCACAAACCTATATACTTAAAAATGGCTACAATGCTAAGTTTTATTTTACGTATGTGTGTGTGTGTATATATATGTCATAAATCTGGGACCTACTAGCAAATCACCTTCAGCAGTCTGACAGTTCTACAGGCCCCCCTCTCCTGCAGTCTCACTTTCGGCAGTTTGTCACCTGCGGTGAACCACCACAACAGTCTGGAAGCAGATGATCCTCCTTCGGAGTTATCATCGGGTCAAAAGCAGCCTAATGCCTAGTCGTTCACTTCACTCCATGCTATCAAGTAGGCATCTGATCACCTCACACCATCACAAAAAGGAGCGGGAGGGGAGTACAATAAGATGTCTTGAGAGAAAGACCATACGGTCACACCACTTTTATCATTCTATATTGTTACTAGTGGATTGCTGATGTTCATCTCTTACTGTGCCTAACTTACAAATTAAACTCTTTCAAAGTATGCATGTGTAAGACAACACAGTATAAACAGGGCTCAGTACGGCCCGTGGCTGCAGGCATCTGTGGGCCATCTTGGAATGTGCCCCCCAGGGTGAGAGGGCGCTGCTGTACTACTGGGTTCTCCAGCCCCCTGGCCTCCTGGCCTGCCGCTAGTGCAGGGGTCCCATCAGCAGGCAGCGGTCTCCTAACACATCCCTAAAATTTATTTCCTAAATAGATTCTGGTTTTAAAGGCTCAAACCCCACTGCAGAACACTGCCTCCACCTCATTTTTTTCTAGCAGCTGTCATTTAGTTGTCTGCTATATTCTGTCATGCAAACCAGTGAGAGCCGTGTCAAAGGAAGACAGCTCCACCAGGGTGAGTGGCCACTGCTGTTTCTATCAGTCTAGTATCTTACTCATTTTGCTCATTTCACTACTCTGCACTGTCAGACTGGTCCAAACACAACACACAGGCTTAAATCAGTCTGCTTCCATTCACCCTTACCTATTTTCCTCACATGGAAGACTAGTAAAAAGAAATGAGAAAAATTGGAGGTACCCATCCAAGTCAGATCAAAACACTCTGGATCTTTTAAAAGATGATGTTAAAGTCATTTACTTACTCAATAAAGGGCACTAAGCTGGAATTCAGTGAGAGCACAGAATGAAGGGGACAAGCTGCACATCTTGCAGA